GGACATCCAAGGTGGTATGCCTTGTCAGCTCGAGTCGAGTAGGGACTCGTGATAGACGCAATGGAAGAATGGTTAGGAGTTAGAGGGTTAGTTATCATACTGAAGTTAATCTCTGGATAGTCATTCACGGGGACGTAGACCTTCTCCTGGGTCTTGGTCGGGCGTCTGTAATCAGAAGGCGGGTTGTAGTTAGGGATGGTCTTGATGGCCTTCTCGACCAGTTTATGACGTTCATCCTCGAGACGCTTGCGGTAACGGTACTCGCGAGTGTTCACACGTCTTCCGAAGTTGTCATACTGGGGTGGTGGCGAGGGAGATCTGTTATCAAAGTTAGTATACAAGGAAAAACACAGAACGATAACACATACCTGTCACCATCGGCGGGGACCACATCGTTGATCCGAAGCTTCTGGCTAATTTCCTCAATACGAAGGTGAAGTGTGTAAGCTTCAAGCTGCTCGCTGGTAAAGTTCGCCATGATCATAGTCGGCAGGCCCATAAGACCAGCAGCCTTGTTCTCTTGCTGGTCACCCCAACGGTTGCGCTTCTTGCGCCTCTTGCCATCGCCATTGTCCAGGGGAGCTGGATCAGCTTTGAAATGCAAGTCAGTAAATTTGTTTTCAAAATATTACACATTGGAAGAAAAGGAAACATACCTCGAACAGGGCTACGACCACGCTTTGGACCATCGGGGCCCATAGACGAAGAGGGCATAGAAGGGGGGTCGCAGTGCGACTTTCATCCTCTCCTTCCTCGCCGCCCATGCGTCGCCGGCCTAGCGGGATGTTGTTGGAACCAGTTATTCCTTGGTTGCGCCAAGCCATAACTGCTGTTTTGGATAAGAAAAAAGTGAATGGTTAGTGATATGGATGGAAGAGATGAAAGAAGGCATGTTCCAAGAGGCAATCGTTGGCACGTGACTATAACAAAATCTTATTTAGTAGGCGGTGGCTATTCTCGGATTTACGTATACCCTCGGAGATACTTATACCCGGATCAAGAGCATGGAGCGGGCCGGCACAGTTTGTTTGAATCTCGGATGATCGTTGTTCCAAACGATCAGCACTTCTAAGAACCCTGGCCCCATATAGAAGGTACATATACAAGCAATTTGCATTGGACTATGTACATAATCTTTGCACTAGACCCGGGGATGATTGAGTGTAGGGCCGAGCAGTACGTAGGTATGGATAATTTAACGTTTCAATATGCTAGCTGGACACCCTAAGACACCATACGGAGTATGGAGTACTAAATGTGATTTTCAAGAACACAATATCTCGACAGCCGCGCTTCGTTTAAGCTTTGGGTTTGGAATCGGCCTGCATCCCCTGTTGAATCCAAGCCCTAGATTGAGCAGCCAATTTATCCGCAGCCTCCTTATCCTTGAGGAGCTCTTTAATGGTATGAGGCGAAGGAACATGACGACCTTTCTCAACACCCGGTCGCTGTAGCATACGCTCCTCCCAAGCCTTGACATTCGGGAAGTCGTCAATATCGATACCGGCCCATCCGGCAGAGGATACCCACCCCCAGTGTGAGATATCGGCAATAGAGACGTGGTCACCGACAAGATAGCCAGACTTGGACTCCGCGAGGTGCTTATCCAAAACACCATACAGTCGGCGCGACTCGTTGACGTATCGGTTCACGCCGTACTCAATGCGCTCGGGCGCGTACCGCGAGAAATGGTTGGCTTGACCTTGCATGGGTCCTAGGCCTGCATTCTGGAAGTATAGCCAACTCTTCATCTCGTAGGATTCCCGCGTACCCTGGGGGAATGAGATCTTGTGATCTGTGTCGTACTGTTCTGCCAGGTATTCCAGAATGCTACCAGACTCAAATAGTCGGATCTCCTTGCCGTCGGTGAAGGTGTCTGTCAAGGCAGGGATGCGGCCATTGGGGTTGATCTTTAGGAACCAGCTATATGGCGGTTAGATATCTTTGTGTGGGTATTTGTAAAGGTGCAAGCACCTACTCTTCCTTTTGAGTGTTCTTCGAGATGTCAATCTTCTCGACCTTGTATGGCAGGCTGCAATCTGTTAGTGCCAAGCTTTAAGAGGTCAAAGAAGCTACTGTACCCAAGCTCCTCTAGCGCTATGGAGATCTTGATGCCATTAGGGGTCTGGGCTGTGTATAGGGTAATATTTGGTTGAGACATGTTGACAAAGCAGGAAGTCGTAGAGATAATAGTTGAGAAGCAGATTGAATTCCTGAAGATGGATGGTTTAAGTAGGCATGTTAGTCTTTGGCGGGGCTCGGAATCCCCACTTTGCGGATTTATAAGCTCGTAGAACTTCCAAGGTTGTGGCTTCCAACTCCCCGAGGCCCCGATAGAATTCCAAAGAATAAACGTTGTCCACTCCCTACGGTTAGATGGTTCTATAGCCTTGCTCCGTAGTCTTGCTGGCAATTGTACCCGGAACCTATTTATTTCGGACAGGTTTTCCGAGCTTTCTTTAAGACTCCTTGTTTTTCATTTGCACTGGAATTCTGAGCCCTAGGGAAGACCTAGAATGAAGGCATGTCTCCCGTGCATAGCTGGACTTAACACGGCATCGGTATTTATGGTTTCAAGTTCGAGGGAAGGATATCTTAAGTCCCAGCAGAAGTCACAGATTATTGGAGAGTCAGACATAGCGCTCAGGGTTGTATACACCCATTGGATATCCTAATCTCTGGATTTGACCTGAATCCAGACAGCACTTTTTACACTAGGTTGTCTGACTTACTTTCACTTTTACTTCGCAATTGTTTCATTAACGAAAACATATGTCTTCCGCTACACCTGCAACAGCAACATCAAACACATACACCCTGTAAAGTACTAGAAAAGCAGGAACAAAAAATAACACTGCTGGGTATGAAAAACGAACGGCGACTGCGAACAGAAGAAAAAAAAAAGAAAAACATCCTCGAAATCAGTCACTAACGTTGGAAGCTAAGTTCGAGGATGTTGATGTCAGAAGACCGTGAGCATAATATATACTACATTATAAGGACTCGGCACCATAGATGTTTGTAGGGGTACATCGATTTTTTATTCCATAAGATATGGTCAAGAAGTGTGCTGCAAGATCAGTATCATAGGTATACTCCGGTGCCGCCGATAGTGAACTGGATTATCAGGCACTGATATAACCTGGGTATCGAAATGACCAGAATAGTAGCAGGGGTAATGGAGACGATGTGAGTGTGGAACAAACGCCTGGCTGTAGGCCAAAAAAAAAAAAAAAAAAAAAAGGCAGAGACGATAATTTTATACAAGCTTCCAAAGCTCAGACGGGAATGATTCCCTTTTCAGACTAGCTCAAATATTGCACCAATTCCAAGGTTCTGACTGGCTAACCCTACTTTATCTCTATACGCGTATCCGTACAATCTATGCATAAACCCAAAAAGTAAAAAAAGATTCTATAGAATGTCCAAAAATCACTTATAAAGACTTGAAATCCTCTGAATTAGGTCTCCTCAACTTATAATACCCCTTTCTTTTCTCACGAGCTCATACAATTGCCAAACATGTCTCAACTCGCGTCTCGTGCCTACAAATTTTGGAACTATACACCTTCGATACCAGCGGCGGTCATTTTCATGCTGATATTCATTGTCCTAACGGTTCTTATTTCTTGGAAGCTTTTCAGAACCAGGACATGGTTCTGTATCTCATTTGCTCTGGGTGGCTTGTGTATGTGGACTCTCTTCCCCTTACAATCTTACTCTTCCGTTCCCTGAATCCTAGACACTAACCTGCTTTATAATAAAGTCGAGATCATAGGCTACATTGGCCGTTGCATTGCACACAATAATACAACTACAATGGGACCGTACATTATCGCCAACGTGTTCATTCTTCTCGGTCCTACACTCTTCGCCGCATCTATCTACATGACCCTTGGTCGAGTTATCCGTCGAGTTCACGGAGAACACCTTTCTGTCATTCGAATCTCACGCCTTACGAAAACATTTGTCTGGGGCGATGTGTTGTCCTTTATTGTCCAGGGAAATTCCTCGTCTCTCTCAGTTCTGGGATACCCTAAATGGGGAAAACTTTGCGTCATTGCTGGCTTGGCAATTCAACTCATCTCATTCTCCCTTTTCTGGGTAACGGCCATCATTTTCGCAAAGCGTCTTCGTCGTACACCCACACCCGAGTGCCTCAAGCCTGGTATTCCATGGCAACGATCATTGCATATGCTATATGCTGTAAGTGCCCTCATTTTGGCCCGCTCTATTTTCCGGATCATTGAATATGTAATGGACAATGATGGTTATCCTCTTATGCATGAGTGGACAATGTATGTTTTTGACAGTTTGCCAATGGCTGCTGTTATGGTTATCTTCTTTATTTGGTATCCTAACCAGATGAGCCTTGACGCGGATCCAGAGAGAAGCATACCGCTTGCACACAGCTATTCGGAAGTTTGTTGAATTTTTGCGCTCGAAACAAGACTCTATATACTGTTCTTGACTTGGAGTTTTTGGTGTTCTTTTGTTTATAAACTGTTTAACTAGTTTCTCTTGTTTGTTATATAGAACAACTTTTTTCTACATTTAGCACACGTTCCAACTACTCCCCTCGTACTTTGCCATATTCGAGCATATTTTCTCTAGTAGACATCCAATGTCTCCTAATTGAGAGCACCCCTTAATGCAGGGCCAATTTAGGGTCTTGGACCCATGCCCCACTTTAGCCTCGGATTCGAATACGCGTATAGCTTTTGCCTCTCAAAGTGGAGTGTTATCATATAGTTCGCATCCACTACCCCATACCATAATATTACTCTGTCTGGATATGCGGAAATCTACACGGATTGGGCAGTACAACATAAGCTCCTGGGAGGTAGCAATATTCGATATCTATCCCGAATACGCGTATACCGTATCACCCAAGAAGCAAACACGAGTGAGGACGTATTTAAAGTATGACCTCTCCGAATCAAAATATGCAGCAAATTGTTTCATCCGAGTCTATTCTCCAAAGCGCTGGGCTTGATATCATGGCGAGCCTCTCTCCATCGTTGTGCACGCCTCAGGCATTTTCATATCCTCACATACCAGGTGCCGAAGTGCTATCACTGCACGCTTCCCAAGTTTCAAATGTATCCAAGTACATACCCGAATGGTACTACTACAACCATGGCGGGGTGACAGCTCAAAATCTCAACTTCTGTAATGTCACAGTGACCTACAAACACACCGGCAAAAACGACACCATCAACGTTGGGGTCATCCTACCCAGTGACTCGTGGAATGAACGACTTCAAGGAATCGGAGGAAACGGCTACACAGCGGGCCTCACTAGCACAACGGAATTTGGAATGATCGCAGCAGCTGCAGAAGGCTACGTCGCCATCTCAACAGACGGTGGCCACACAACCGACGACCCTGCAGACTGGGGCCTTCTGGAAAACGGAACGCCGGACTACAATACCATGTACAACTTCGGCATTGCTTCTCTCGGCGATGCAGCAATCATCGGAAAGAGCGTGGCAGAGAGTGCATATGGATCGAAACCCAAATACTCTTATTGGACCGGCTGCTCGCAAGGTGGCCGACAGGGTCTGGCGCTCGCCCAACAATATCCTGAAGCATATGATGGGATTGTTGCCTCTGCTCCGGCAATAAATTGGCCACAATTTTCGATGGGAGGATATTGGACTCAGTTTGTCATGAACCAGCTCGATGAATATCCATACCCTTGCGAGATCAACGCTGTGACAGATGCTGCTCTCTCCGCGTGCGACAGTGCTGACGGTGTCGTGGATGGTGTAATCACGGACCCGGATTCATGTGTCTTTGATCCCTTCACTTTAGTGGGAACCCAAATCAACTGCAGCGACACTAGATCACAGTTGAGAATTTCGGCTGCTACCGCGAAGGTCGTTAATGCTACCTGGACGGGAGCAAGGGACTCACAAGGCAACTTCTTGTGGTATGGATTCAATCCTGGGACTGCATTGACAGGGGCAAATACACCGGCAAATACAAATTGTACCAACGGGACATGCACTGCAGTCTCCAGCCAGCTGTATAATCGATGGGCTCAGGTTTTTATCGAGCACAACCTGAACTTCACCCTGAAGAACATCACACACCAAAAATATGACCAGATTTTCCGCAAGTCTGTCCAGCAATGGAATTTGATATTTGGAACGAACAACCCAGACCTGTCGAAATTCCGTGATGCTGGTGGCAAGATGCTTACATATCATGGCCTGGTGCGTTTCATATTATCTGCTCGAGAGATACACATATACTAATTTTTTTTTGATGCAGATGGACGAGGTGATTCCTCCTGATGGCACGAGGTCATACTACGAAGCGGTAACTGTCGGTGACTCGAGTGTTCATGAGTACTATAAGTTCTTCGAAGCTCCAATGATGGGACACTGCTTCGGCACCAAAGGAGGATATCCTTCTACTATGTTCGATAGCCTTGTCGCTTGGGTCGAGGCTGGCAAAGCTCCTACAAGTCTTCCAGTGAAATACTCCCCAGACGATGGGAAGACATACCATAGAATCCTTTGTCCATACCCACAACGAGCGACGTACAAAGGTACTGGGGATGTAACGTCTGCCGATGCATTTTATTGTGCACATGGAGTTGTTTCTGTTTAGTTGGGGTTGGATATACTATTGTTATAGCTAGTGAACTGGAGACGGGAGACTGCGGGTAGGACTCGGGATGTTCATCAAATAGGTTGTTACAGGACTCGCTGTGAAGAAATGCGCTGCTAGTATCTAATTTCCGTGGAATGCTATCTACATTGTTGGTGAGCCTTAATGTTTACGTCAAGAATAATTTTTGATCAAATCTTGCATTTTGCAGATATGTACAACTCTATAGATACTCATGATCACAGGAAGGCCGCTGCCAGAAGAAAAAAGAAGAATCAGGTGTATACAAGAAAAGCCAGGCTGCAAAGCAAACCGAACAGAAAAGTGACAGGTTATACAACAGTATATAACCCTACCTAAAGAGGCGACAGCGACCATCACAAACACGCTCATACGCCAAAAAGACAGCAACATATATCTATCATGTATATCAGACTACCAGGAGAAACTCTCTTCCACATATTCAACACTGGAATGAGCCTGTTTCTTCCGACAAACACGGCGAACGTCATCGCTCAAACTGCCATTCCCGCAGACAAGAACACCCATAGCGCCAATTTGATTCTCGGCCTCCATACTGACCAATGTGTCAATATTAGGACGACCGGGGAACATCTGCACAGTTGCAGACGGGCTCTGGATCTCCTTGGTGTTACGCGGCCGCGTAATAAAGAGCATGATGCGCAGTACTTCACGGCGGCGATCCATAGCCAAGATACTCGTCATCCAAGGCCGGATCCACTCCAGGTGTTCGGGGGACTGGATGATCCAGACGAGTGTTATGCGGCGGGCTGCGACGGTGCCATCCGCGAACCCGGCGACCAGATGGCGGACGAAGGGGACGTGGTGGGTGATACCGACTCCGCCGGCGAAGAGCATCACGGTACCGTATGAGTCCATAGTGTGGATATTCCCGTATGGGCCTTCAGCGAAGGCACGGAGGGTGATCTGTGAACTCATGGAGTTCGAGGCGCGCTGGTAGAGCTTGTCGGTCATTCCTGTGCGGCGACGGACGAGGAGAGAGATTGTTTCTTTTTTGGGCGCACTGAGGAGGTCTTTGCTTGTGATTGGGAGGGACTTCTCGGTGGAATTGGTGTCCTCGGCTTCGCTCCAGCCAACGGAGAACGGGTGCGAGGTCCACAAGCCCACTGATGGGATGTAGAGGTAGATGTGCTGGCCCGGACGGAAGGTCCAGGGACGGGCCATGCGCAGGGTAATGCGCATTGCGTCACCGGGCATGGCTTCGATGGTTGCGGTTGTGGATTCACGGCCGCAGTTGCGGTACACAATGATGAAGAAGCGCGTGGCTCGCTCGAGGGCCCAGAGGATGATGGAGGCAAGCAGGTAGGTTTGCGCGACCAGACCGTTGAGATGAACCCAGAGGAAACCCATGGAAACGGCTGCAATGGCAATGTGTAGGTGGAGGAATGTCTCATAGAATGCATGGCGGATAGGCGAAGGCGAGTGGAGTAAGAGCGCAGTGAACGCACAACCAGCAATCAAGCCGGTCAACAGGAAGCTGCTTCCACTCAGAGCCATTCCAACAACCTTCCAGCCTTTTTCTTGGGCTTTGGGGATAGCCCAGGCAAAGATATGCGCAAGACTCTCCAGCACCACGATGCGGCCGAGCCATCGGTGGAGCAGATTCCATGTATCGAAAGGCACATGGAGCATAGCAATTAGAGGGTTGCTTCGGCCTGCCATCAAGACCAATGGAATCAAGTTGACGGTTGCCATAGTTCCAGTGCGGTTACGGATAATACCAGCAACCGAGTCTGGTTCGGATCCGTAAGGAGATGTGATACAACAGAGCGTGACATTCATGGCGAGAAAGCCGGTGATAAGGAAAAAATGGAAGCGGCTAGGCAAAGTACCCATGTTAATAGCCGACGAGAGCTGGAGTTCTTGATTGTGTCGGTTGCGGAACAATGCGGCATGAATGATATGTTCCTTGATCCAGGCAAAGGTGTTGTGTGTAGAGACGAAGTACCGTTGGCGGTCATCGCCGAAGCTTGCCAAGCGTCGAAGATGGCGAGAGAAGCGGAAGACGAGTTGCCAGATGTAATACAAGGCGGCAGCACAACCGAGGGCGAGAATTGTGTAGCGTGCCAGATCATCGTTGACGGCTTCGTAGTAGACAGAGTAACCACCATTTCGTTTTTCAATGTGTTCAGTGTTTGTTGCCCTGGCCAGTCCGGCGAGGGACATCGCCAGCAAAAAGGAGTGCATGATGGCCCACCGAAGACGCTGCACGTCGAGTGCTTATGACTGAACTTGTTGAGCTGTTTAGCGAGGCCAGCTCGCTGGACAAAGTAAAACAGCAAACGAAACTACCCCAGGTTGCTTGATCAAACGACAGAAGCAAGGGTTGAAGGGATTCAGCCGTCTAGGGGGTTTTCTGCTGGGTGGCTGGTGTCAAGTAAAGGACCTGCCTAGATCTAATGTATAGAAATCAGAGGGAAAGCATAGAATAAAAGCCGTTTGTCGATATTTATCAGTCCACTGGGCGAAGCGAGAAGCGAAAATATTCACAAAAATAGCGGGCGATGTTTGTTAAAGGCCGTTGTCGACGGGTAACGAAAGGAATGCTAGTGATCCAGTCACTGCCAAAATTTTTGCTAAAGATGGAAATTTGTCCACGACACAATGACGATTGTTTCAAAAACAAAGATAAAATGAAAATGAGACAATGTTGATTGTATAAATCAAAGAACGGTCGACAACAATCGATAGAAGAAAGGACTGTTTCTCCTTGTGTCCAGTGCAGTGGATGGAGTATGAGACAGGGGGCCGGACCAATATGTAGAATTCCAGCAAGGCTTCCCCACCTCTAACACGGCCCGTATCATGTGGAATTCGGTCATTTTCGATTTTGATTTCCGGAATTTTCCTCAATTCTTTTGAAAAGAGGGGCTTAGCGCTAAGGCCACAGATCGGTGCAAAGGGAGTATGAGAGCAGACGATCCTGCAGATCCATTGCAGCGAATCAGGGGCTCCTATTCACAGATAACCTCAGCACACATTGGCAGAATCTGGACCTGGAACATGCGACAGGTCAAGCCCGAGTTATCCTGAAGTGGCGGGAATACCGATTAAGGACTGTGACTGGTCAGCACTGAAACGGTGAAACAGCCAGTGGACAGGAAGAGTTTGACAAGGATCAACAAACGCCACACAGTCCCCGACATAAATCCGCATCAATGCTTGGCCTATGACCGATTGTTTGAGAAAGGGGTCTTTGCTGCATCGATGAGCCAATCTGCAATGGGGAGTGGAGAAGAGTGTTTGTAGAGTCACGTTTTCATATTCGACGGTTCTTAGCGCCCAGGTCAGCTCAATCACACAAGCGAACGGAGCCCACTTTAGGGGGTGTGAAACAGTCCAGTCAAAGGCTATTACTCCCGCCATCACTGTAAATGGCACTCCGTCTTTCAGGGGTTGTTTCCTTGGCGTGAATTTCATTTATATTAGGCTTAATCTTAATCTTTCACGGAGAATTCCCTTCTGAGAGTCCTTGGCCCTCTTGACTTGGAATTCTCACCATTCTAGATTCCTGGTTTGGCACACTGAAACGAGAAAATATGAAACGAGAAAATATGTCTTAAACCTTGATCGCATGCAGGTATACAACATACCTTCTTCTATATCATGGGAGTCCATCGGTGTGACCGCCGGCGTTTTGTCGGTCAGCAATTTATTTTATCTGCACCGGATAAAGTGCACATATAACCTTCCAAGCTTGTCTCGGGGCAAATGTCCAATCTGAGGTCTTTCCATTGGCCCTACAAGGTCCAAAGGTTAATCCAAAGTTGTAAAACAACAGCCGTAGAGGTCCTGAACACAGTAAAAACACCAATCCAAGGCCATGGGTATCAAAACAAAAATCCTAAAACACCGAATTCCCAAAAAAAAGCGGACCGCCCATACCCACCGGTCCGTTCTAAAAAAAAATCCAAGATCTAACAGTCAAGCTCATGTACTGACCTCGGGAGATCCGTTTGAATGTAAAATTGGGTAAACACCCCAGAACCATGGATAGCCCAGGATACTCGGGGGAATATCCGACATTCTCCCGCACAGGCAAACTGTTACGGGTCTCAAATAGGGCCAAGCCCGAAACCCGCTCAGAAAAAGCTGAGCTCATCGTCACTGTCGTCATCCTCGTAACATGGAATGACTCTTTGTTGAGGGGTCGGCTCAATAATATGACGCATGGTTGAAGCTGAAGGGCGCGTAGACCTTCGCCTCTCTGCCGTGCGATGGACCTGCTTTGCAGCACGCTCGAAAGTGGGCCGGACGGTAGGCTGACATGGGCTGCTTCCTCTGTGATTGATGATCACGACTTCAACCTTCCGTGCCTGTTGTGTTACGGAGGCCGTCCGTCTAGTCAGGTTGGTGCTGCGCTCTCGCAGAATGTCTCGGTGGGTGACTGGTTCCACAGTAGAATTGCATCTAGTCGGAGTAGGAGAGTGTATTTGCGGACTGTTTGCACCCCTGTCAACTACGACCACGGGTGTGGGTCGTTGTCGTTTCGTAGGCCGTATGGATGAGGCCTCGGCGTCCTCGAAAGTGCGCTTGGTCGCCATCGGCAGGGGAGATGAGGTCAGACTTGGAACAGAGACTTGGAAACGGTTAGAGCCAGGTGAGCTGCTGTCTGTAGAGGAAGCGATGCAGGGCACTGGGCTTGATAGCATACGCATGGGCCTTTGGGCTTTTTGCACTAGGATGGGCTTTCCCTTGGTCGCGGGCGTAGATGCCACCCACTCGCCTATGCTATCTTCCCAGCGGAACAGGCCTGTACTTTGACTAGATTCCTCGGGTTCTTCCGAAGACTTTTGGGCAGTCTCTTCCTGACGCTGTCTTGTGACCACCGTCTCTTGGACGTCGACGGCCCACATATGATCATCGGGATCTCCTGTAGCTTCTGCAAACTCCATGGCAGCTTCTGCCGCCACTCGTCCAAGAAAGGCAGACAAGGCTGGTGTATGGGCCAAACGGGCAAGTTGCGAAATCATGTCACGTATTTCACCGCTAGTATGTTCGGTTTCATCCTCTGCGCTTTTTCTAAAGCAGCGAAACGCTTGGTGCACAAACAATGCTAACTCTCTAACCATGTCGGAATGAAATGCTATGATCTCCACGCATGCATCAACATTGACTGTTGACGCCATTACATGGTGGTGATTGTCCAATAAAATTTTGTCGTTGCACTGTACAAGGCTGGTGGCTAGCAAGATGCAGCCACGCCGTAACAATTGATGAGGGGTATTATCAGGGCGCTGCGCGACGGAATTCGATTCCAGTTCTCGTTGCAGAGCGATATGGAGATATCTTGTAATATAGCTCGCCTTCGTTCCATTTGCACAATTCGTGTCATCGGATGCACGAGACCGTGAAATGTGCATGCCGCAGAGCGCTGCCATGAGGCTTATGACGTGATTGCTCAGTGCGTCCTCCACTTGCAATGGACAAGGCCGGGCAAGATTCGAGATTTCCCACGCTGTGGTGGAGGCAACCCTGGTCGCACGGGCACGAGCACTCTTTCCCTTCGCGGGGAACTTTGGTGTAGAACTCTGAGAAGCGGTGATAGGGCGGATATCACTTGCTGAGAGAATTACAGCTTCAATTAACCGTGTAGCCGCAGGACTGTCTTCATCCTCCTTCGAGAGGGATATCGTTGCTCGCGTCATCCAGCTAGTCCATAACTTGGTTCCCATCCATTCCGGGGGTAGCACTCCCCGCAATAGAAGCTTTGCAAGCTCGTCGAATATATAAGAGCGATTTGCAACACCATGATGAGCATATTTGCGTAACAATCGGATCGGATCCGAAGGATTATGGCCAACCGCTGGCCTTAAAGCCTGTGGGTATGGGTAATTTTTGCGGGTAGAAAGCAATGTAGAGAGCAATGAGTCGCTTTCTTCGGGAGCAAATGAACGACATTTATCAATCAGCGCGCAGGCAATTGAATCTGTTATCCAATGATTCTGTATCAGGGTAGAAACCAAGTAAATACCCTGTGCGCGGACAGCCTCGCGGAGTGGCTTCCAGCCTGTCCCATGAGGCGCATAAAAGGCTTCCAACTCTGTAAAATATGCATCGCACATATCTTCATCCCCGTCCTCGTCCAACTCATCCTGTGCTTCTTGCTCGCTCGCAATAAATTCAGGTAGACTTCGCGTCACCATGGACAGCAAGGATCGAGCACCACGCCTGCTGGTTTCAGATAAGGGCTTCACTCCTCGCTTCGATATCACAGTGTTGCAAAGGAAATTTTGGAAGACGCGATCAAGGTTGTGTGCTATGTCGGCGAAGCCCGGATCACCAGACTGGTCGAGAAGTTCTTGCCAAGGGCTCTTGTGGAGCGAATATCGATCACGGAAGACTAGCGGCTGTGATTGTTGAATATTAGGATTGAACTGGCCTTCCGGGCGTTCTGACTGTGCACTCGGGGGCATCTCCCATCTCCTCCCAGTGATGAGTGGTGTCGCGACCTCAATGGCGCCGGGCAGGGTGCGTGGGGCCTCTGGGCTGTGTATTGATAGTCTGTTGCGCTTTTTCCCTCCAGTCTCCTCTACTTTGGACGAATATTTGTGTCTGGGCCGACGTCGCTCGGGCTTTTTCCCTGGAATCCAAGCTGGGTCGTTTTCATCCGGATCCGCATCCGAGCCTGAGCAGTTGTGCCGGTTTTCTGGTTTGTGGTCGGCTTCCAAAGTAGGCACATCACTACCCTCTGCAATTTCTTGTGGTTTCGACTCGGTTGCGATTATCGACAGCGTTTCTTTGTGCTTTGCGATTCGACGGCAGATGGAGGTCAAGGGGCGCAGGACACGATTTGCCCATTTTGCAGTGGCTTGGGCATCCTCCATTGAGGACGAAAGGGATAATAATATCTGCTAATAGCATACACTATCAAAAGAATCAGCACTGTCATGCGTTTTTCTCTTGGTCATTTGGGTCGCACTGCACCAACCTCGCCGTACTAACAAACCCTTCAATGATGCATGATAGGAACAATGACGGCACTCAACCAGATATTACCAATAATGCAGCAATAATCCAATGTAAATAAGATATGCCGAGGAATTAAAGGGCGTGTTAAGTGGAGAATGAATGATAACATTGCGCGGCAAACAAAGAAAACAAACATTGACTAATGCGGTAAAGCGGGTCAATACATATTGCCTATTATAGCGATCTTACTCTCTTCCAATGTATATAGTAAAGTTCTTGAAGGTCTTGAATTTCAAGTATTTGCATATGAACTTAATGGATTCTACCCAGAAACAGAAAATGACCCAAGTGGCAGATCCGCATAATGCACCAGATGTGAGCCCATATAAGACAACCGAGTCCTTTCCATGCACAGCCCGAGAGACAACCCAACCTGGCAGATGAAACCAAAAATGAAAAAAAAAATAGGAGAGAGGAGAGAGATCTAAAATACAACAGTTCTTTTCGCTCATCAAGCCTGCCCACCGATCCCCAAAATGACAATGTATATAGATATTAACACATGTAATAACCAAGAAAATAAGAACGGGAACCAACGTCTAAATTGGCTGAAATTGGCTGGTTGGTAACCCATTTATGCCTTGTTAGACTGCTTGGAGCCACGAAGCTTGGGGTTGCTGGTGGCGGCACGCTTCTTCTGCTTAGAGCGCGAAGAGCTGGTGTCGCTACCTTCGATGAACTTCAGAAGCTCATCGATGCTGCGAGAGTCGAGACCCGAGGGATCGGCAGGGGCGGTGATTTCAGGTGCAGACTGGCCAACCTGGGGCTGAACACGGGTGCCCATGGAAGACACGCGAGGGTTCAGAGGGTTGCGACGCAGACGACGAGCCTGGATGTCCTTGGCGTGCTTGGCGATAGAGACAGCGTTCTGAGTGAGCTGCTCGAGCCAGTTCTCGGCCTCCTTGGTGTTGCGGTCTTCAGGTCCAAGCTGAGCGAGGAAGATGTTGTATGCCTCGCGCATCTTGCCGACGGCAGCCTTGGAGTCCTGATCCAAAGCGAGAGCCTGGGCGAGCTGGAAGAGAATGGTGGCGGTGTTGATGGAGTCCTTGCCGAACAAGTTCTCACAGATGGAGAGAGATGCCTCGAACCACTGGCGAGAGTCGTTGTACTGCTTGAGGTGTTGCAGCATCACGGCGGCATTGTTCATCGTGGTGATGGAGTCGGGGTGGTTAGGACCATAGATGATCTTCCAGACATCCATGGCGTGCTTAATGTAAACCAGAGCAGTCTTAGTGTTGCCGGAGGCATGCTCGAACAGACTCAGGTTGAGGTAGCTCAGAATAGTGTCAGCCGAATCAACACCCATAGTGCGCTCGGTGACGATGACGGCCTTGCGAGCCAATTCCACGGCAGCCTCCTTCTCGTCAGTCTGGTAGTACAGCATGGAAAGCTGATGGTAGAGCTTGGCGACCTCAGGGTGCAGGATACCGTAGATCTGCTCGTGCAAAGACAGAGACTCGAGGATGAGCTCCTGGCCCAACTGCTTCTGGTTCTGCATGAGAGAGATACGACCGGCCTCCAGGGCTTCCTCTGCCAATGCGCTGCGGGGAGAGGCATCACGGACCAAAGGAACGACATTCAGGATATCATCAGCAGTGAAAGTGACAGCGGGCTTAGCCGGCGCCGGAACGGCGCGGGTAGGGGACTTGTTGTCGCCGCCCTTCTTCTTGCCCTTCCTCTTAGGCTCCTCTTGAGTAGAGCTGTTGGTGACAGGAACAACAACCTGCTCCTTGACCTGAGCCTTGGTGAACGCGAAGTCACGGGCACCGAGCTGGAGACCCAACTTGATGGAGATGTCACGCAGAAGCTGCAAGTGTCTCAGGGAGCTGGACCAGTCCTTCTCGAGGGAGAAGCGGAAGCGGATGGTGACCTGCTTCTCAAGCTCGGCCCGTAGGGACTCAGGGGTGACCTTCTCGAAAGAGAAATCGCCCTCGGGGAAGATTGCACGCAGAGATTCGTCAATCTCCGCCTGAGGAGTAGCGTTGACATCCGAGCCGAGGAGGCAGTTCAGCAAGTGAGAAAGGCAAGGGGCGACGAAGGGAGCGGGAACGTTGTTCAAGTAGCGGTTAGCAACGTGCTTGAAGGCACGGGTGATCATTTCCTGAACCAGGAGAATGGACAAGGCCTGCAGGCGAGGTCCCTTCTCGGCTGACTGCTGAGCCAACTTTCCGAGGTAGCGGAGGTTAATACCACGCTTGTGTAACAGCTGGGTCAGCGATTGACCGTCCATGGGGAAGCCAACGTCGCCATCGTGCAGGTCCTTGAGCAGGTCGGGGATGACCTTGGATCGCAAGTGATCACAGGCATCCCGGACTTCCTGCTCATCCTTTGCCCATTGCTCCTTCTCCTCTTCGGTCTGGGGCACCTGGCCGCTGAAAACGTCGGGGTTGAGGGCAAGGTTAAATCCAGAGATGTCAACACGCTCCTGATCCGCCTTCTCTGCCTTCTCCGCAGCCTTCTCCTCCTCGGTCTTGTCCTCTTCGGCCTTGCCCTCCTCCTTGACGGCCTCGGCGCTAGCAGCCTTGCGGCTCTCCACCTCGGCCTTCACGTACTGGCTCATCTTGTGGCGCCAGTAAGACTCGACCAGCTCAAGTCTGAGAACGGACATGCGGTGGGGGTAAACATCGCTACCCTCCTCTTCCTGCCATGCAGCGTCCAGAGGAGCCACGCGGTAGAGATCCAGGACGTACTTCCGGCCATCAGTACCCAAGAGGCCCTTGGTCTCGACGCTACCTTCCAGGTCGTGGCGCTGGTTCTCCTTGTCCCAGACAGGGTGCTGCTTGACACGCAGCGCCTTCGAGAGCTTCTCGAAGACCGGAACAAAGTCGGCGTGGGTGGCCACAACCTCCTTGCCCTCAACACCACCGTAATCAATCTGGTGCTCACCGGGCTCACGCTGCTTGAAGATACCAGGAACAATGCTCTGGCCAACGATACGCTTACCCAGGTAGTCGACCACCACGGTTCCGGGGGTGAACAGACCATCGATATCCAGCTGGTTAACAGCCTTGATGCCAAGAACGTCCTTACCCACGGCCACGCGTGCAGCTTCGTCACCACCCTCGGAGGTGAAAGTGCCAACGCCATCGGCACCGAAGGAGTAGAAGATGTTGTTGTAGACAAAGATCTGGGCGTCCCGCGCCTCGGTGGGGTTTAGAGGAGCAACCTCACCCCGGGCAACCAGGACTGCACCGCGAGCGGCGGCCTCATTATAATCGGCGAACAGCTTGGAGGTCAAGCGTTCCCGGAACACGCGATCCTGGACGGTCTCACGGGGCAGCTCGCGGGTAGTCTGGAACTCCTCGTTCCAGTCACGCAGAGTCTCGGCGTTATCAACACCAGAGATCAGGTAGTTCTCCTGCGAACGGGTGATGTCGGGCTGGTGGGCATTCAAGCTCGAAGTGCTGGGGGAGATGAGCCATGGGCTGTTGGGAATGGCGTTCTGGAAGGGGAAAGTGGTCAAAAGATCTTTCTCATTGTTGTAATCCTGCAGAGCCTCGAAGGAGGCGTTGAACGAGGGCGAAAGTTGGGAGATGAGAGTGAGCAAGGAGTGGGCGCTGCCCTTCTTGGGGTGTGTTGGCTTCGGGAATGGGTCGAATCTGATGTTCGAGCACTTGTTCACAAAGAACCCAGAGACGTGGGCAGTGATCTGGAATTGTTCACCTTCGTTAGTAGCAACCACAAGGTAAAGCAAATGACCCTTCTGGCGGAGGTTGTACGGAACGGGGTTCCATGAAGACAGCGAAATGGATTTCACTGTCTTGGGCAGAGGAGCCTGCTCGGTGGGCAGGATAGTCTGCAGAGGTGAAACTCCAGTCAGATCATATTTGGAGAGCGAGTGCTCCTTCTCGGACTCGCTGGCCTTGATAGCATCTGCCGTAATAGTATCATGCAGGGACAGGCCAGCGGAGATACCGTGGAGGTTGTCAACACGGTCACCAGAAGCACCAATTAGCTCCCTGATGCGCACAACATGCATGCGGGCCTCCTTCTCGGTGTAGGGATCCTCGACCAGGACGATCTCGGAGTCAGCCTCGAGGTCCGGGACCTCAGACAGCTCGACGAAGTCGTTGATGCGGTTGCCGTTGAACTCGAGGTGGAAGCAAGTGTATTGGAAGGTACCCGGTAGCTCGACAATAGATTGGCGGACATCCTGGACCTGTTCTTGGCTGGAGACCTAAAGAAACAAATCGGGTCAGATATTTTTCCCCTCTTCGTGGCCTTTTAAAACATCGAACCCACCATCACTTGGATCTTATGCGGCGCGTGAGGGAGCTTCACGGAGATCTGGAAAAGACCTGTAGTCGAATTAGAACACTGCTATGCAGTTCTGCGTCCGGTGATCCAACATACCACCCGTGTTGTCCTCCTCTGTGCCCTCGGGGGCATTGCCATTGGCAATCTCTTGAGAAGCTTGGGGAGCCTCTGTTCCTCCGTTAGCTTGTGTGCCCTGCATCTTCGTTTCACCTGGAACCCATGCTGGATCCCAATGGACCTTGCCCAATGAGGTTCCAGGGCCAACACACACCTTTCGAGTGCTCCAACTCCCCATTGGTCTGTGCCATTATGTCGAGCCGGTTATTAAAAGAGCTTCGACGAAGTAATAACAGTAAACCCCTATCTCACAACCGTCACGCGGGTGAGAAACAAAAGTTCGAGAGAAAAAAAAAAAGGTTGAGGACCTGCGGGGATTCGGCAGGCAGAAATTTTAGTATAGTATACAAAAGAGTAATTGAGCAAGAAACGAAAACCCCGTACCCCAGGAAGTTGAAAAAAGAGCAAGGATGAATGGATAGGTGAAACTGGAAAACCGGAGAGAAAATTTCTCGGATGCGGCATACCCTCGGAAGTGCTCGGGCGGTGGGTTCGGGGAAGGGGCGGAGAGGGACATTTTTCTCCACGTCTACAATTGGTTTGTTGAGAAAAGAGTGTAAGAGCAACTGTACGGAGTACAAATCTTGGAACTAGTATATCTTAAGGTAGGTTATAATTTTCATAAATTGTAGGTGCTGATATCAATTTCATAGATCCAGTTGGCTTGCCTCAGGTACTATTTTTTGGATGTGTGTCAGTGATTGTGTACACCGTGGCATTTGATTTCAATTGGTAATAATAACTATTTCACTGTAAAGGATTGTTAACAGGTTAATTGATCCATATTAATGGGAGGATACAATATATGTACATGAACCTTGGACGGTAACACCTAGTATATAGAAGCTAATAGGGTTAGCTTTATCTATGTGTACTAGACTGGAAAGAAAAGATTATCTACGAGGCAGAGATGTAAACAGAGCATTAAATATGCGGATGCTCGTATTTCTTCATGGAACTTTCTTTCCAAATGACGTAGACAATAATAGTCGGCCACGTATGTGGCCTTGTCATGTCTTTTGGGCAGTGTTTTCAGATATTATTTATACATGTCTTTTTTCTTATGTATTTATATACATGTGTATTCACCCTTCTCGAATTCACAGGTAGACTGGAGGAAAATATTTAAAATGAGGAATTAGGATCCTTGCCAGTTCGGATATATATATGACAGAAATATAGATCAGGAAGAACAAGTCGGGGGAGGAAAGGTAAAGTCAATGCCACGCTGAGATATTTAGATATTTCACATAGCCTTTGTCTCGAATAAACACGTTTATAAGATTCAAATGCTTGCAAATTTTACAATATCTATATGCTTCGTCCCCATCAGCTTTGTCGAAGCTAAGGACTGATAGGATAGCCTTTCACCATAGCAATGTCGAGCTTGAATACATGGATACATGGATCAAGAAAAAGAAAAGATACCTGCATATCAAAGTGACTTTCAGATTGCCTACCGAAGTGAAGCGACCACGGGAGATGGGTAATTTTGCCTGGCAGTAAACTAATTAGGATGTAACTAGGTACATACGGAGTACATTACCCTCTAATGTGCGAAGCATTTCTCGACGGAAAATAGATATAAAAAGTAAAAATCAACTGATAACTCTCATGCATAGAAAGCATAGTGGTTACATAAATGGTTTGTTTATTTACTAGAGCCTATATACATTTTTTTTCTCCCGTGGATCCACCATATTCCACACAGATCTGAAAAAAAAAAAACCAATAAAAACAAACTCATTCAAATAATTTAGTGGAGAATTGAAAGCCTACAATGTATAGTTCTCGTACCCCCGTATATACGATCGAAAATGCTCCTGATTCGATCGCCAAGCCTTCTGCATCCCTGGTTCATCGAGGCTGAGGCCAACACCACAACTTTAGCCACACTCTGTTTTTTTTTTTTTGAACTCCCTTTCTTCCAGTCTTTCGTTAACCTTTTTTGTATCTTTGTATCTTTTTTCTCTCTCTTTCTGATATCCAGTCTCTTTCATTCGATTTCCTTGAGTCGGTCTTTCTGCAGCAACGCGTCATTCCCTGGAGGTGTGGCTTTGCGTGAACCATCTACAAGTCTAGAATTCTAGCAGTACACTCCTTAAAGCTGTGTGTTTTAAATATAGGCCCTACACCGTCTGGGGTTCTGATTATCTTTGCGAAGATATACATTCCCACTCTTCATTATCCACCTTTTACTGAAGGACTTGGCACCCCGGCGTACAGACGCCAAGAGGCCTAACAACGATGCTATGGAGCCGGCTCGCACAGCCTGCGAGGCTCTATGCCCGACAGGGCCTGCCAAGACCTATCAGAATTAACAGCCGCGTTGTGATGCATATACCCAAGCGGTTTAATTCAGACCCCCGGGACACTGGTCAGATGACCCCAGACCCCACCGATCAGAATGATTCGGATGAGGGCAAGGGTAAGAGCAAGGGTCAGGGCCATAACGGCGACTCAGATCCAAGCTTCAAATCTACAATTCTCAAGATGTTTGAAACTGGGGCGACCACAGCGGCATCAATTGCCATTCTAGGGTAAGGTTTATCTATGCCATTCACGTCATGCGTTATTGTAGCTAATTTGTTCCCAAGTGCCGCGGGTTACGGTTACCACCAGTACTACAAGTGGTTGATCTTGGACAAAATGGACAATGCGTTCAACCCCGGTGATCCTGCCCTCGAGGTCGCGGGTGTTGTTTCTGGAAAGCACAAGTACCACCATGAGGAACATTGGGTCGTTCGGAACGAGCAACCCAAAGTTGACGATATTGTAGCCGGGCGACAAAGTGGCCACTACTATCTAGTGATTGGCGAGAAGGGAACAGGCAAAACTTCGATGCTTTTAGAGGCCATGCGCAAGATCAATGGTAACAGCTGTGCGATGTTCGAAGCGCACGCTGATCTCGAAATCTTCCGAATCCGACTGGGCAAAGCTTTGGACTACGAGTTCCATGAAGAGTAAGCTTATAACGTCATCACTGTAAGGGCATAACGCTAACAGGAATACCCAGCTATATCGGCAGCCTTTTCAGCATCCGTGGACCAAGAGACACCACGGCTCTCTTGGACATTGAGCGCGCATTCAACAAGCTAGAGAAAGTGGCTCTCACCAGAAGGCGGGATGGATCGACTCCTCTTGTACTGATCATAAACAGTACCCATTTAGTCCGGGACGATCACGACGGACAGGATTTGCTTGAGATGATTCAGCAGCGTGCCGAACAATGGGCTGCTAGTGGTCTCGTCACAACAAGTAAGACTCTGACGAACACCCGTTCCCCTTGTCATAGCTAACTTTGTCACCTTCAAGTTCTTAACAGCGATGACTATTGGGTATATGAGCGCTTGAAGCGTTATGCAACCCGCATGGAGGTCATTCCCGTGACAGATCTGCCCAAGGACAAGGCGATGCGTGCCTTGAAGAAATATCGCCAGCAATTCCACAACGAGACACTTCCATCTGCGACCCTCGAGCAAGTCTATGACAAAGTCGGCGGCCGTCTATCCTTCTTGAACCGCGTGGCCAAGTCTTCAGATCTCATGAAGACCTGCGATGAGATCTGTCTGGCTGAGAAAACATGGTTCCTAAACAAGTGCTGGATCCTCGGAAAGGAGATGGATGATGATGTGATGGATCAGCAGAAGTATGCCGTAAGTACACCCTATGAGATCTACTGGCTCCTTTCCGTTTCATGCGACTTCGGCTAATCTAAAGAACACAGTCTGGCGCCGTGGTTTTGGCGAAAGCACTGGTAGACCTTGAGAAAGAGATGGAGTCAAACTATCACCACGAGCAAGGCCACATCTTGCCAGAAATTCCGCTCCATAAAGCGCGTGAGATCATGACCCGTGCAGACTTTATCCAATCTTACGATCACGAAAATATCTTCACAATTGACTCGCGCGCTATGGTGCGTGCCGATTCAGTACCCATGCAGCGTGCCTTCCAAGAAATCTGCGCCATAGAGAATTTCGACAAGCACCTGGACGGCACCGTGGAGCGCATTGGAGACATTGAGAGTCTTGGCCGTACTCGGGAATTGACTATCAAAGATCTCTGGAACAATGGCAAGTATCGCGTCGTGGTACGGGACAACCACGGACGAGAGAGTGGGACAGTTGAATTTGCTGTGGCAGAACGCGAAGATGATGAAAATTAATTTGTGTCATATCTGAATCTACGGATGAGAGGTCCATAATTAAAATGTACATATTATGTCGAAAATATCAAGTCGAATTCTTGAATTCGCACCTTGGAAAAGCCCATAGTGACATCATCGTATGCTCACCGCTAACCAACATTCCACCCGCCTTCTCTTTTTCTCTTCCAAGCTACACGCAATTGCCTGTGATTTCTGCACTAAACTCTACATTGCAGTCCTATCGTTCTTCAAAATTGGAAGCTTCAAAATGTCCACCAAGACTGCCAGGAAGCGAACTGTGTCGTGGAGCGACAACACGCGACCCGCGCGTGAGCTTGCGAAGACGGCCACTGCCCAGACCTCTCGGTTGGCATGCATCCCGTCTCCAGCCCGCTTTATCCTTGTTGTCCTAAGCAGTCTCACTGTGAGCTCCATTTTGTTCACGCTCACTTCGAACTTCACGGTGGGCGATCTCGGGCCTATCAGCAAACACCTGGAAGAATGGTGGGAAGTGGGGGGCTTGATAGCCTGGAGGGCTTTGGAGGTCGGAGTAGCCTGGGTTCTAGGATTTGATGGTAAGTACTAATTATCATGCACATGATCCCTTGCATCCGGACACGAGGTTCCCACAGCTATATAGACGATATATGGAGACTAACCTTCTGTTTGCGACTAGGCCGTGATGTGGCATCGTTCTTATTCTTGACCCACCTGCCGACATACTCTCTCTTGTCATTCTTCTACGGCATCCGCCCGACTTCTGGACTCTTAGCCTTTGGGGTGACGATTGTTTCGACAGCCCTTCCATTCGCCCTCCTGCGCCGGCCCTCGTCCGTCCACAATCTTTCGCATACTCCTGCTGATGCAGTTGCCAATCGAAACATTCTACAGGACAAGACTACCACTGTATTCACCACGCTCCTGGCAACCTCGATTTTCAGCGTTGTGCTCTACGCCAGCTATGCGACTTGGCTCCCTACCCAGCTGGTCGTTCACTTTGAGGGTCTCCCGGATATCAGCGCGGCACATGCTGGACCTGCTGGCTTGCCTATCCTCTTCCTGACGCTGATTCCTGCCGGCTGGGCCGCGCGAGACTTTTTGTTTGTCAGTTCCACTGGCTATTCAACCACTCCCGCTGGGTCTGGATGCTGCGAGGGTAGTGAATGCGTGTCTGCGGCCATTTGTCGCAACACTTGGGGTCAATTGTCCCCCAAGACGAGAGTTTTGGTTTCCCGATCCATTGTTCTTGCGCTTGGAGTCCTGCTCAACACGATTGTTCAAGTCGCCGGCACAATCAACGATGTCTCTCTCGAAGGTGCCGCCACTTGGGGAGCAGTCTGGGCATTTGCGACACTGATCGCAGGAGCAACCTTCGGCTGGATCGAAGCCGTTGATGGTGTATGATACTATATGTTATAACGACATCATGAAGGGATGTGTGGTCCCAGGTTGATTTTCGTCTCAGTTGCACCAGGTGCGCGAGACGTAGATGCGGCGATACCCTCATATCCAGTATCCTCTTTCTTATGGCGCGCCTGACTATAATGTCTACATTGATTTCCTTGCACTGCTATGTACACCTTCTGCTGATCAGCCGCGCGGCTGTTGGTGCCAATTTCCTTCTTCGTTATTCAAAATTCATGAGTGTTATCATTTTTTTCAACTGTCAAGTATGCTTTCCCTTCAAATGTTCATTGATTACCCTTGTGTCCTTGGATTAATCGTAAGTCTATGTCAACGTTAGTCGCTTTACGACATCTAACACCCCGATTAAGTATCTAGTATTTGCTGGGGCAATAATAACCAAACGTGACAGGTATAGAGAAAAAGGACAAATCCCAACGACCAACCCCAAAACGAAACATAAACCAAGTAACAAGCACAGTGTCCAAAGCAATCACCAGTGAGTAGGTGAACCCTGGTACTTGTCCGGTCCATCAACCGAAGTGCTTTCCATTGGATACGAATCAGACTTCCCACCACTAGGCAACATCCACCCAGGATGCAGGAAATTAAACACAGCCACCGAAACAACCATCATAGCCCCATCAAGCGCAATAAAGTACGACTCATGGGTAATGAGATACCCATCCCATCCCTGCGACAACTCGATCGTACGATAGATACTCCGAATATAGATACAGACGATTGAAAGTATCATCGCGGCGAACAGGGGAAGAACCGAACCGTTCACCGACTGCAGCAGACGCTTGCGCACAACCCGGCGGACGAAATCAATCGCGCAGAAGACGAATATGGTAATCGAGAAGAGTTGGAAGACGATGCCAGCGACCATGATATGCGTGCCGGGCGCGGTATCGCCGTCGATCTTGTCGGCTTGTCCGGAGGCCATGCCGCCGCCGACGGCTTGGATGACGAGGGAGATTACGTCGCAGACACAGAAGATCCAGAGGTAGAGCTTTGGCTTTAGGATGGAGGATTCGGGGCCGAGGAGTTGGATGAAGCGACCTAGGAGGATGTAGATTCCTGCTGTGAAGAAAGTTGGGGCTATGGAAGGTTAGTGTTTGGGGATGGATAGTCGACGGTGGGAAGGTAACTTGCCGATGATGAGAGTGCAGATCTGCATTAGGAAGGCATCTCCACTGTATGGACATTTGGCTGACCAGGTACGACCGGCCCAGCCGATTACTTCGACTGTTGATGTTGTTAGTCTTGCGGGGAGTTAGGGTTTCGAGTGTCACAGGCCTCACCCAAACATCCGATACTAAACACGCTTGCCCACCATTGTCGCTTCCAGGTGAATTGGACTGTGTGGATAATCATCGAGAGACCGAAGAGTACGCAGTAGGCAATGCCTGCTCCTAAAGATGGGATATATCCATATGAAGTGTCAATGCCTTCGATATAGGCATGGCAGCCAATTTGCAATTGTTCTCCGAATTCTGCTCTGTCGGACATGGCGAAGGGCAATGAGCGACTTCAGGAAACCACTATCAAGGAGATTGTCGAGAAATGCAAAGCTAGCAGTAAATCTGTAGTATTTGGATAGATTGGAAGATGGATAGAGATATTCCCCAGACTAGAAAAGAGATTTATAGACAACCACGCCGTTTGCCTGAAGTCAAAAAGGTATCCAAAAAAAAAAGACCAGGAATTAGGCCTCAACGTTCACCCAGATAACATGAGTATAAATAAAGAGTAAGCATGGCTGAGCACCCACTGCCCCCACCATCGGGGAAAAACCTTTCAAGACCAAAGCCACGGTTTTTTAATGCACATCTACTTCAGTAACCTATCGGGATAAGACCCGCATCGGAGGAACCAATCCCGACATTCAAGTGTGTCTCCAATGTTCATTGTCCAGTTTCCAGCATCCAGAGCGGGTTGTAAACGGGCCGACTCCGGTTGGTATAGAAATGGAAAAGGCATATGGTGAGAATCTATCGTACAATCGGGCAGCCAACCGTCACAGTAGGGGGTTCCTAGCCTGTTAGATTGCGTGAGCCTTGGACCTTATACACCATATAGGACAATAGATTTATGACATCAAAGCAAAGTCAAAAAGAAAATACAAAATACGCCGAGATCTGATAGAGAATCGGTCCGAACTACAACCTGCCGTTACTCGCTCGCAAGACCATCCTTTTTGGGTTTAGCGTTGATACAAGTTTACCTCAGCCCTTAGGGATTCGATTTATCTCCGGTCAAAACCGTTGCCAACCCGAGGGCCTTATAAAAGATCCCATGAGTCACGGAATTCGGCAATCACTGGCAGCTTGAAGGACACGAAGCTTCCGAATTGAATGTAGTCTGTTCAATATGCGGCTGAAGCTGGAAAAGAATGTAAGATCGGATTCTGTTGGCAAAATCTCAAACTGGAGTCCAGCCCTAGTCCTGACTCTGGTTTTTGTGTTTTCTCGGGATATCGGATGGACATGGTCTCGGATGACAGCGGATGTACGTGACGGAGAAAAAAAAAATTACGAAGGAAAATGCACAAGGATCCACATCCATGGATGCTACTTATTCGACATTGAATCTCATATCTTCTCACATTAGCTGTGTAATTCTTGAAACAATCCGTCATACTGCCTTTGAGGGACAAAAAGAGAATAGAAGCAAGAGAACACATTTCAAACATTTATTATACAAATGATATCCTTCCAAGGTGATGAATGAGAATTTAAGACATGATCTAGTCCGTCTGACATGGCTAAAAGTCCAACAATAGAATGAAAAACCCATATTCCGTATACTCTCAACTCAAGCTGTCAAAGGCAACATAATTGCTGATCTTTACTCTATTGCAAAAACAGTGGAGCTCTAGCCGAATCCCTCATTTAGCCCCATAAAAAAAAATACAATCCATTCACGCACGGCCAGATAATAATCCCATCGAGACAAATCCTCAAAGGTCCAGACAACCATCCAACAGAACAGGGAGAGCTTTGATCTGTCACGACCAAAGGGAGATTAGGCCTCGTCTTGGCAGGCCGGATATCAACACTGCAGAGGGATTGCGGCTGAACAAACGCACTGTGCTGAGTGAGACCCCCATTGCATATAACAAGACAACTCACACATGCTACTAATCTGATCAGACACCCAGACCAAAAATAGTCACAGAGCTGGGGCCACGCGATCACAGACAGTATATTAGAAAGTGGGGGCGATGCCTGTATAGATAAGCGGGAGTATCGTGGGGTAAGTGAGAGACGATATTAGAATATAGATGAACCTCTCGTCTTGGTCAAGTGCAAGGGATTACACTGTTACCTGAATTGCTACTCCCCTCATATGCAGTAATATCCACACCCGCTTTCCAGATACTCTTTGAACCCTTGCCGCCAACCACGGCAACCAGATTAACAGGCACCGTGTCTGCTTACACCATTCCTAGACCGACGCATCCGCCGCGCGGTCTGATGACCTGCGCTGGAATCAGGGTAGTGCGGCGATGGATGGGGCGAGGCTATGTTCCGGCACACGGGGGGACTGGGTGTGTTGGGCTGCAATTATTAACGCTGCCTATGAGGGACAATGGGCTGGTTTGAATACGATGAACCGGTTGCCACATATTGATGAGTATCAGGCTCCTGTGGTCTTTTTGTTGGCTGATGAGAGCAGGTTTAGTTTGACGAAGCGTGGTTTGCAGCGGTTAAGTGGATAGACTTGATGGACTGTGGATATGGGCAGAAAAATGAGAGAAAAAAAGGACACTGCGGGTCTTTTATTTCTTGCTAGCATTTCATAAATGATTGATCTAGAATGACTGGGATTGCTTTGAATAAAATTATTCAGTATTCCAGAATGATTCGGTCGGTTTGTGGAAGCTGTGGAACTGTGGTGTGTCATAAATACCCTCAGGGTCTAAGAGCAAAAGTCAGCATTGCATAGCAAATTGCAAATAGGATGGAGTTCTCACCATTGTGGTGTTCCACAATATACTTCCTCGTGTTGACGATACTCCCCTCAAGCTGAGCATTAAGCTCCTGCTGATAAACCCGGACCTTCTCATTTGCCTTAGCAGCACCACGAAGAGCCATCTGAGCGACGTGGTACCGCGAGACACGGTTGACCAGCATCATATCGAAAGGCGTGGTGGTACTACCCTCTTCAATATAGCCCGCGACAGTCACACGCTCAAGACGCGGGCGTCCAAAGAGCAAGCCTTGTAATTCGGTTGGGTAGCCGTGGTAATTGAAGTGAATAGGCTTATCGGGAGTGAAGAGATTATCGAATGCCTCGGTGGAGAGGGCATGCGGATGTCGACCCTCGTTCTCAAGAATCATCAAGTCCGTCACGTTGATGACGCAAACACGCAACTCTGGTATGAGCTTACGCAGAAGCGCTGCTGCCGCGATTACTTCGAACATCAGTTCAACACCAATGCCGACCAGCACGACATCGGGGTTTACTCCATCGTCCGTGCTGCAGAACTTCCAGATCGATGCTCCTGCGCGACAGTGGCTCTCGGCCTCTTTGGGAGTCAGGTACACTGGAGTAGGCTGTTTTGAGCCCACTATCAGGTTTATATAGTTCTTTGACTTCAGGCAGTGATGAAGGGTCGTCAGGAAAGTATTCGCATCCGGTGGCAAGTACACGCGGGCTGCGGTAGGCTTCAGCTTTAGTACAGATCCGATGAAGGACGGGTTCTGGTGAGAGAAGCCGTTGTGTTCCTGGCGCGTCCAGGTGCTCGATTCGATGTAGTTCATACTACTGACGCCTGAGTGCCAATTTGTTTCCAGTGCCTACACAGAGGATTTGGTCAGCATATAATTGATATTAGCAAGGGAAAAAGGTGACTGACCATCTTGATGAACTTGGCATACTGTACCATCATCGTATGAATGATGCCGAGGAAGCTCTCATAGGACGGGAAAATACCAATACGGCCGGTCAAGGTATAACCCTGCATAAACCCTTGACACATATGTTCGCTA